ATCCAATGACGTAATGATTACTTTTTCCTTTCTTCCTTTACAAATTATAATTTTAACAAAAAACTAACTTGAACTATTTGAGTGGAATTATTAAGAAGAAATAACTATGATTGTTTCACGTAATTACACGTGGAATGGAAATGTAAATGGGAATAAATATAATAATAAAGTAATATATGAATTGTTTCATATAACTTCAGATATTAATAAATATGATAATTGGATGGTGATGTAAATTTCATGTGAGGAAAGTTTGCGATAATTTCATGTAATTTCAGGTAGACAACAAATGTGATAATTGAGTAGTAAATGCAGTAAGAGAATAACTTACGATAGTTTTACCTAATTTTATGTGGAAATAAATATGACAAATGAAGTAATGCATGACAATAAAGTTGTGAAATTTGAAATATTTCTTCAATTTGGTTGGATTTTTTTTATATTTCAAAAAATTTGAAAAATGCTGCATTGAAATTTCAGATGAATATTTTGATTGATGAATTACGGTATGGTTAATTTACAATAATTCTTTTTTTCAGGATGATTATTATCAGTATTTAAGTGCATGTCGTAAAAAGAACAGCAAAATACTATATACAAGTAATGGTATGAAATGTGAGAAAGGTATTCAGGTTGCTTTGGGACGATTCCGGAATGCTATCAATGAGACAGGGTAAAGTAATTGTAAAAAAGAGATGAAAAAAAATCTAATACAAACCTGGATTTTTTGTTTAAAAAGAATAATAAAGGAGTAATACATTTCGAAGATTAGTTAAATTAACCAAGTTTAAAAAGATAATTATCACTTGTAGATTAAAATTCTAATTTTAAATATTGTTTTTGAAGCTAAAAAATTTAAGTTCTATTCTAAAATGGTACTCTAAATGTATAAGATTGAATTAAATTGAATTAAAAGAAATTTATTTTGCTCCAGTTGGGGTATTTTGGAAGTGGAAACATTCAATAACACCGATGAAATAACTCAAGCATTTGCTGCTGGACTTGTTGAAGGTTAATTTTGTGATATAACAATGATAGCGACGAGGAAAAAATGTGATAGATAAAAAAGAGAAATTCTAAAAGTATTTCAAATTTTTCAAATACTACGATTTACTATTATTAATGCTAAAATTTCCAAATTTAGACCTATTTTTCCAACCTTTTAAAAACATTTCGATTGATTCATCTTATCAAAATGGAATGCATATATTTCTCTTTTTTTTCAAAACCAAAAAAGGAAACTTCAAAAACTTTTCTATCTTCATAAATCAAAATTAATTACGTAAATTGATTTGCGAGACATAAATAATTTTTTAAAGGTATTTTAACACGAAAATTGATAACATATCATTTTCGTAATACGGTAGAAGAAATGTGTGATAGTGAGGAAGAATACTGCAAGAAGCTTTTTGCTTATTTATCCAGAAATTTGAATTGGATCAAGCGTACAATAAGTGAAAAAACAGAAATGGACATTTACTGGAAACAGGTCGATTTAAAATTTGATTTTAAAATAATTATTGGCAAAAATCTGTTTGTAATATGAAGTATAATTAACCTTGAACACTCTGTGTCTTAATAGGCCAATGTTTATTGGGCTATTTTTACTTTTATTAATCATATTGAGGTATTTACGGTTTTTTTTTTTTAGTTTAGTGTTTATGTTAATGGTTGTTATATTTTCCGGTTTTTAAATTTTCATTTTCCATGATTATTTTGATGATATAAATTAAATACTGAAATAAGAATTAAGCTCTTAAACCTAATAACAAACTGATAATAGAATTACAGAAGGAATAATTTATTCAGAATATAAAATTAAATAGATAAAATCAAATGATCGATTAGCATTATATGCTTTATACTAATATTATACTATACTGTACTATATATATATATATATATATATATATATATATATATATATATATATATATATATATATATATATATATATATAT